GTGCAGACACCGATTTTTAGTTAGACAGATCAGCCAAATATCCACTACGCGATGTTTCAGTTTCACGGAAATTGAAAATACGTCGCGTGTCGCGCGTCGTCGTCCCGTCTTTCTATCGTTACATGAATCGAGATTAATTAACGCGTGATTTATTTTCGCGCGGAGAGACGTGTTTCCGGCACGTGGGACAAGTTATAACAAGAAACACAACAATGGACCATTGTTCGGAACTCTAATTTAATTACAGCCTGATCGATAACGACGAACTGTACCCTGACGGTTGTTGCACACGGCCGGATCGGGGTATTCTTTGTTTCGGGTCCATTGTCCGCCGAAAAAGGCTCGTTAAACGGGAAATGGTATCGTTGAGGATTTATCGATGATGAAATAAAATGATTAAGAGAAATGACGCGATGGCGAGGAATGGGAATATTCACACGTTTCGTGTTATACAGGGTGTTATGTAACTGCTGGTACAACCAGGTAGTGGGTGATGCTACGTGAAAAAATAAGTCGAAAATATACAATCAAATTTTGTCATCCGAGTCTTAGTTTTCGAGAAAATCGAATTTGAAGAGTTACCTGTGACGCGTGTATTCGAGTTGGCTGTAAGTAGAAATGGAATGCAACGGACGGACCCGTTAGCAAAGTCCCATTCAATTACACGCCTATCCAGCACTTTTTCAAACACCATTTTTAAACAACGAAGTCTCAAATGAAAAAATTTTAGTTTATATTTTAGACTTATTTTTTCACGTAAAATCACCCAGTACCCACTTGTACCACCAGTTACAGAACATCCTGTAGGTGTCTTTTTATTAGATCGGGTCGTACAACCGGACAGGAGGTCATCCTACGAGAAAAAATAAGTTTAAAAGAAAAGAGTAAAATTTTGTCAGGTTTTTTTTCCGATAACTGAATTGGAAAGTTTGTTGGATACACGGGCAACAAAATAGGACTTGACTGACGCGTCTATTCATTGCAGACTGTTTCTCCTTATTGCCAGCATATATGTATACACATCTTTTAGATGAATCTTCAAGCCCACTTTTCTCGAAAATAAAGTCTCTATTAATTAATTACCAGACTTGAGACACTTTGTATACATATTGGTTAGAATGCGGATTTTATGCATTTATCACAAATATGATTGCCCGAAATGCAATATAGTAAATATTTTTTTAAACATTAATATACATTTTGCTTTATTTTGGACTTAACAAAATCGACAATAAAAGAAGCATATCTCCGACATAGCTTTAGTTCAATGAATTAATCGATTAAAGTTTGAGTTTACAGAAAAATCTGCATTCTAAAAAAGATATAATACACATAGGCGTTGAACTATGATTAGTTTTTGTTCCTCTAATATATGTATATGTAATATACGAATATACAAACATGTAACAAAAACGCATATTTAATCCCAAAAACCAAATAAAAACACAGTTTCGGTAATATGGAATCGATCATGAACGTTTCAAATTTGTTAAACTTTTGATCCTTCTATCATGAATATGTTTATCCTACTTTTTTTTTCGATGGTCTTCAATCGACCCCGTGTTCTCTAAATTACTGCATAAAAATCTATATTCGCACAAACTTCCGCAGTCTAAACAGTCACTGATATGATCTGTCCGCCATACTTCTCAAAGCCTCAGTAGTGAGAAAAATCCACAAATATCACCCCCGTGATCTCGTCCAGCTGGATATCCTTTAAAAGTCGCGTGTCAAATGAAAACCTTTCTAAACTATCAAACGAAACAAGACGAAAAACCGCGTCAGAATATTCTCAAAAGACTGGCCGGCGTTGTTTCCCTCGAGGCTGCACGGATTTCCCACGGGCAAAGGGTTAATCCCGGTAATGAAAATAGGAAAAATTGAAGCGATCCGATCGGGAGCCGGCTTTGGATCCCCTATTTCCCACCCCCTTACACCCCCCTCGATAGGAACCGTGCCTTGGAGAACGCACCTACTCATTTCCCGTCATGAATATTCAGCGGCTTAATTCGCGATGAGGCCGATCGGAGCCGATACATCGTTACCGGCGATAGGACGGATTAAACGATCGGTCGTTTCTTTCGACAGCGGGTCGACGACGCGACGGGGCTCGTTAATCGATCGCGTCGCGCATAAACTCATTATACCCGGGCGTTGCACGCGATGTAATCAACGAGATTCTCGGTATCACACGGATCCAGACTGTTTTTTTTTTCTTTTTTAGTTCCTAAATCGAACTTCCTTTCGCACGCGGTTCTTCAATTTTCATGGCGTCCTGGTTTTCGTTTTTTTTTCTTCTTATTAAAGAAAAAAGAATTGTATTGCCAAGGAAGAGATACGAGAATTATTATTTTACTGCGGATGTTTATGCAAATTCAAGTTTTCGTGAATAAATTTTGGAAAACCAAACATAAGCTAGAGACTGACTTTCTTCATCAATGTTCTGTGTTCCATTATTTAAAATTAACACTGAAATTGAGTTTTTTGAAAAAAAGGTTCGAAAACGCGTCTGATCTGTCTGGAGCAGCAGTTACGTCAATCGCATTCCATGGTAAATTGTAAATTGATTAATATAATTTAATTGTATAATTTCAATAAAAATGATATTCCACAAATGTATTATTTAGAATAAAATATATATGTTATGAAAGGATCAGTATGTATTTTATTAAATGATTATGAAATTATAATTAAAAGGATTATCAACTTACACTTTTAGAGAGAAACCCGTCAAAACCTTTGCATTCACCTACATAATATGTACGTCAGTACCTTCTCGACTGTTTCTACCTTTATAATTTTTTTCTCCTCGCCTCGTTACTTTAATTTTTTTTTAATAATTAATAATGTTCCAATACTTCTATCTAAAATTTTAGTGGTAATTTGATTATGTTCAATATTAAAATTTGATATTGCATATGACGTAAATAAACTGTGAAATTACGTTTTGGGTTTGGTATTCAGCCGTAGCGAAGAGTTAATGAAGTCCCATTGTCGGTTTGTTTCGTTCGCGATACGCGTATTGAATAAAAATCTATGGAATCAGTACAACCGTTGAAATAACGAACGTAGTCATAATAAATCTCGTTAAAATCCTGCGGATATATTGATAAGAAATTTTGTTCGAACAGAGAAACAATACTTACCACTCTATTCCGAATAATTAATATTATTTTTCTACAGAAATCTGAGTTGCTCGGAAATATGGTTTGTCTAGAAATTTCGGATTAAAATTGTTAAAATATTTCATTATAGTCGTGATCCAAAGGATGCATTGGTTTACTTGACTTATATGCTATTAGACGAAGTGAATACTTTAACATAGAATTATGTTGCCATCTTTCAATTTCTTGTGTGTGTTTCTTGGATCGTGGTGATCATATTACCGATGCATATTTTAGTAATGGACGTGTAATGGAGTAGTACAGGTGTAGTATGGTGAGCGGGTCTTTGAAATCATTACTATTTCTGAGTGTTCCGTCGTAGACCGAAACGACGGCTATACAGTCAGACAGTACCGTTACTTTTTATTATTTTATTCCTTCTTTCAGTCAATTTATATGTTTTCAAGACCGACCCCTTGCAATTTCGATTTCGTTGACAAAGGGAATCAGAGACAATAGAAGCGAACATTTGGTCTGCAGTCCGCCTCATGCGCTCGGCAACCTGGGACCCATCCGCGCCGGGCCTTCCCGGGGCGCGCTGGCTCGCAGACAATATACTCATAAACCCTACCGTTGAGGGACTCGAAAATTCGTCGGGGTCAACTCGCACCGCGACCAAGTGCGCGATATTTTCCTGACGTCCGCTTCGCCCTGAAGGAGAGGTATTCCACCTCCACGTCGCTTGGAAAAACCAAGAAATTTGCCTTCCCCTTCAGGGCATAACCAATAAGGAGGCGAGTTTTGGTCACGCCTTCATCGAACTTGGAGGAAGCGCGACGTCACACGAAACTCGAA